GCGCACACACGCACACCCATGCACGCACACACACGCACACCCATGCTCGCACACACACGCACACCCATGCACGCACACACACGCACACCCATGCACGCACACACACGCACACCCATGCACGCACACACACCCCCCCAAGGCAAGGACACACGCTGTCTACCCGACTGGTGGCTGTGATCCTGACCTCTGTGGCCGTGACCCCCACCCCAGCCCTCTGGAGGGGACAGTGGCGCTGTGTCCAGCTCTCCTGCAGGGCTGAGCGGCCTGGGAGGATCCGCTCCCTTGCTGTGTGTTACGAGTCTCTCCAGTTGCGCCCGGCCTGTGCACCAACGCCGAGCCCGGCAGTGGGGAACCTCCCAAGTCTCTCCAGACCTGGAGGCTGAGGCAGAGATTTGCCCCAGGACCCTTGTAGGCATTATTTATGTTGCTTGCTTCTTTTGAGGGGCGGCATTTGGGGTTTGAGCTGGGGCCTTGTCCTGAGGCGGGTGCTGCGGCGCCTGAACCACGCCTCCAGGCCATTCCGCATCTTAGATTACTCACGATCCCCACAAAGCACAGTGCTAGGGAGACTGGCTGCTCCTCACGGCTTTGTTATTCGTGCTACTTTCCTCGTTATATTGTTTTCTTTCTGGCGTGATTTCTATCTGTGCTGGGTTGAATTGCGCGCAGCCCACAGTGCTCTGAGTGGTAAACCAGGGTTTATTTACTTGTGTGTCTCTGAGTCTCTGAGCCATCCCCACCCCCTCCCCACCTTCCAGAAGTTTCCCTACATATGTAAAGTGTCGATTGTCTCTTCTGGTATTGGGGAGTCATCCAGGCATCTGCAGCCTTCTAACTCAGTGTTCCTGAGAAACGTGTGGGAGGCCAAGCCTTTCAGGGAAGAGCTGCTGTGGCCCCGTGGCCCTGTGGGTGCCGTGGCCCGGCTCCCTGGCTCAGAGCTCTCCCCAGCTTTGGTGTGTGCGGCTGTTGTGTCTGGCACGTGGTACATGCCCGACTGCTCACATGAGGGTTTGTGTCCTGTCACTGGCTGGTGCCTGATGGGGCCTATCCCATCGTGCCACACCCCCGGGGGCCAGGTCCAGGGCCACACCCCCGGGGGCCACATCCAGGGCCACACCCCGGGGGCCAGGTCCAGGGCCACACCCCGGGGGGCCAGGTCCAGGTCCACACCCTGGGGGCCAGGTCCAGGTCCACACCCCGGGGGCCAGGTCCAGGGCCACACCCCGGGGGCCAGGTCCAGGGCCACACCCCGGGGGCCAGGTCCAGGGCCACATCCCCGGGGCCACGTCCAAGGCCATACCCCGGGGCCACGTCCAGGGCCACACCCCCGGGGCCACACGCCCCTGTGTCTAGACTAGTGGCTGTGCTGCCAGGGCCACGCCTTGCTTGAACTCGGGACCTGGGCACTGTCCCTGAGCTTTTTTACTTAAGGCTAGTGCTCTACCACCCGAGCCACAGCTCCACCTCAGCGTTTTGGCAGTTAGTTGGAGATGAGAGTCTCATGGGCTTTCCCGTCATGGCTGGCTTTGAACCGTGATTCTCAGATCTCAGCCTTCTGCTGGGATCGCAGGTGTGAGCCATGGTGTCCGGCTCTCTGCAGTGCCTTTTAAGCACCTCTCCTCCTCCTGAGCCTCGAAGCTACTGAGGAATTTCTAGAGAAGAGGTCATGTGTGACCTCGAGGTCATGACCTCTGACCTGGGGGCCACAGCCACTTTCTGAGACCCACTTGTTAAGATTCTCGGATGGGTTTGAAACTGGAGAGATTTCAGCACTTGAAAACGGGACGATTGTCCCAGGGGTCCGGGTGGGTTCCAGCTCAGGGCCACACGGACCGAGCCGCTGCCTTGGGCCGGGCTGGGGGCTGACCGACCATCCCGTTCACTCGGGCTGACCGTCCACCCCTCCCTCCCTCGGGCTGACCGTCCACCCCTCCCTCACTCGGGCTGACCATCCACCCCTCTCTCCCTAGGGCTGACCGTGAAGCCTTCCCTCACTCGGGCTGACCGTCCAGCCTTCCCTCACTCGGGCTGACCATCCATCCCTCCCTCCCTCGGGCTGACCATCCAGCCTTCCCTCACTTGGACTGACCATCCAGCCCTCCCTCCCTTGGGCTGACCATCCACCCCTCCCTCACTCGGGCTGACCATCCAGCCTTCCCTCACTTGGACTGACCAGCCCTCCCTCCCTCGGGCTGACCGTCCACCCCTCCCTCCCTCGGGCTGACCGTCCAGCCCTCCCTCCCTCGGGCTGACCATCCAGCCTTCCCTCACTTGGACTGACCATCCAGCCCTCCCTCCCTCGGGCTGACTGTCCACCCCTCCCTCCCTCGGGCTGACTGTCCACCCCTCCCTCACTTGGATGGGGCTTGCAGCTGACCGTCCACCCCCTCCCTCGGGCTGATTCTACTCCCTCCATCCCCCCTCACTTGGGCCTGGGTTGGGGCTGGCCGTCACCTCCTCCCTCGCGGTGCTGTCTGGCCGCCCCCGTGTGGGTGTGGGTGCAGGGTGGAAGTCCCGGCCTCACCCTGGGGTCCTCACGGAGGCCAGGGTGGTGAGTCTGGAGGCTTCCGGAACCCTCAAGAAAGCCATCAGGTGCGACCGGCAGCCCTCTCCCACGCGTGAGGTCCACACCCTTGTTTGGCGTTCTCGGCCTTCACATCCACTCAGAACCGTGCCCAGTCTGTCGGGGGCGGCGGTCATCCCTGACCTTGGTCCTGCCCCACATTCAAGCCCAGCTCAGCAGGGGTGGCGACCCCAGCTCAAAGATGCCTCTGTCCTGGGAAGCGCTGAGGCCTCATCTCCAGTTTGGTCTGGATGGCCAGGCTTCTGCGTGGACTGGTGTGGGCAGCTGGAGAAGCCAGCCCGAGTCGGTGGCTCACGCCTGTCATCCCAGCTACTCAGGAGGCTGAGGTCCGAGGATCACGGTTCAAAGCCAGCACAGGCAGGAGAGCCAGCACAGGCAGGAGAGGCCAAGAGACTTCTTTTCTTTTCCTTTCCCCTCCCTCCTTCCCTCCTTCCCCTCCCCTCTCGCTCTCTTTCTTTTTCTTTTGTTGGTCATGGGGCTTGAACTCAGGGCCTGGGTGCTATCCCTGAGCATTTTATTCAAGGCTAGTGCTCTACTACTTTGAACCACAGCACCACTTCCAGTTTTCTGGTGGTCAGAGATAAGTCTCATGGACTTTTGCCTGGCCTGGTTTTGAACCACAATCCTCAGATCTCAGCCTCCTGAGTACCTAGGATTATAGGAGTGAGTGACCCGTGCCTGGCTTGAGAGTCTTCTTTCTAACCAGCAAAAAGCCATACGTGGAGCTGCTGCTCAAGAGGTAGAGCATCAGCCTTGAGCAAAAAAAAAAAAAAAGCTAAAGGACAGCACCTAGGTCCTGAGTTCAAGTCCCAGTAGCACCAAAAAGAAAAAAGGAAACCGGGGTTGTGTTGTGGATTTACCTTGTCCAAGCCACGGAGCCTGTCTGAGGTTGTGGCGGACGGTGGCTGCCCCCCCCCCCACTGTCTGTTGGAGCTGACCAGCTCCCGCTTTGGCCCTCCGGTGACCCACGCTGGTGGTTTCCCCAGGGCAGGGCTCCCATCTCTCACCCTGGGAAAGCGGCCCCTGGGGTCTGCGGGCCCTGACTCCTCTCCCAGAGCACGGCTCGTTCCCCAGGGCACGCATGGAGCCGCGGCCTCCGCCGCCTGCGTTCCCTCAGCCGACACCAGGCCCGGCTTTGCCCGCTTCCTGGTCATTTCTATGTCCTCTGCACTGAGGTCCCTCAGTGGTCCCAGAAATCCCTGTCCCAGAAAACCACCTAGGGTTGGTGCTTCACGCCTGTCCTAGCTACGGAGGGCGAGACTGGGCCGATCTCCATTCCAGTCCAGCTAGGGCAAAAAGTCCTCAGTAAACTGGTGTGGTAGTGCGGCCCCGTTCTCTTGGCTAGGGGATGCGGCAACAGGGAGGTCGAAGTCCAAGGGAGAGTATTTAAAAAAAAAGAAAAGCTATAGGTGGTAGAGATCCACCTTAGCAAGCACAAGGCCCTCCCTGAGTTTAAGCCCCAGTTCCACCAAGAATAAGTACGCGGATAAATGAAGCTCATGAGCAGGACAGACAGGACAGACAGACAGGCAGGAGGGGTGCCACTCCCGTCAGGATTGTGTGCGGCTCACGTTCCAGCGGTCGCTAGACCGGGTCTGCAGAGCACAGGCCGGCCCCAGGCCGTGCGGCCGCACTTCTGGATAAGTGCTTGTGAGAGTTAGAAATAGTCTCAATGAAGGTGATGCTGGCCACCGTGGCAGACAGGGCGATGCGTCAGGGGAATGTCGTGAAGGGAAGGACCCCCTCCCCCGCCATGTGCTCTTGGTGTGCGCGAGGTCGGGAGGCCCCTAGTGCCGGCCTCGCTGGCCGCAGACCTGTGAGCTGTCCTGACCACCAGCGCGCATCTGCTGTGCACACCTCTCGCAGTTACCACAAGAGTGGGTTCCCAACTGCTCACGCCTGTAATCCCGGCTACTGGAGAGGCTCAAGTGTGAGGATGGCGGTTCCAGGCCAGCCTGGGATAATGCACCTTGCTCCTTGGTGAAGCACGGGGGCGCACAAAGGGCTCCGCCTCTGGCTCCGGCCTCTGCCCGCCCCCGTCCCCTGGGGCTGTGGTTGCCACCTAGATGGATCGCCAGGGGCCTGGGCCTGAGTCGGGTCTGTGAGCCGGTTCCTGACATCCTCGGGTCTGGGGTTAGGACCCTCCTCCCGGGTTCTGTATGGACATGGCTAGACCTGGTGTGGGAGGGGCGTGGGGGGGCGTGGCCTGGCGCGGTACCGGGGCCCGGGCAGCCTGTGGGTGTGCCCTGTACCACCATTGACTGATTTGTACGTGACCCCCACCTGCCATTGTCACCCCAAGGGGCTGCCTGACCCCCACAGCCACAGGTCTCCGTGGTCCCTGGGTGGGGTGGGCAGCAGCTCCGTGGGTCCCCGAGCGTGGGTGCCACGGGCCCTGCCTGTGTTTGTCTCCCAGAGACGCCCTTGACCCTGGCCGCCCAGCTGGACGCGTCGGCGGAGGTCATCATAGCTCTGCGGAACGGCGGGGCGCACCTGGACTTCCGCGCCAGGGACGGGCTGACCGCCCTGCACAAGGCCGCCCGCGCCAGGAACCCTCTGGCCCTGAAGGTATGGCCCGAGTGGGCCTGGGGCCCTGCCCAGCCCAGCCCCCGGTGGCCAGGCGGCGGGCGGACCCTGCCCGGTGGGGCTCTGGGAGCGTGGGCCGGTCTCACTGTTCCCCGGGGCCTTGCAGGGGTTGGAGGCCATCGTCCAGCTCGGCTGGCCCCTGGTGGCGTGGAACCCGCTCGGTGCCTGGCCTCTGGGGCTCTGCACCCCTGTGTCGGGACAGCGTTGGGGCCCCACCCCTCCCTCGGCCGGTGACGGCGTCTCTGCCTCTCCACAGACGCTGCTGGAGCTCGGGGCCTCTCCGGACTACAAGGACAGCTGCGGGCTCACGCCGCTCTACCACACAGCCGTGGTGGGCGGCGACCCGTGCTGCTGCGAGCTGCTCCTGCGCGAGCGCGCCTCCGTGTGCTGCCCGGACGAGAACGGCTGGCAGGAGATCCACCAGGTACGGCCGGAGACCGTGCTCGCGGGTGCAGGGTGCCGGGTGCGAGGTTACACGCAAGCCCAGTGCCGGGGAAGCGAGGGGATCCACCAGGTACGGCCGGAGACGGCGCTCGCGGGCGTGGGGCGCTGGGTGCGAGGTTACGCGCAAGCCCAGTGCCCGGGAAGCAAGGGACGGGGTGCAGCCACCTCTCTCCAGGGTGTTTGGAGGGGAGTGGGGGGAGGGGTCGGGCCTGCGGTTTGCCCGCTTGAGTAATTTCAGGATTTGGGGATCCCTGGTTGTCTGGTTCCTGCCCTGGGTGCTGGGTGCTGGGTGCTGGGCTCTGGGCACCGGGGGCTGAGTTGGTGGCAGGAACTCAAGGGCTCTGCCTTGGGGCTGCTTCTGAGGTCACACGCGTACATCCAGGAAGCAGCGCCCAGCAGGTCTGCAGGGCCCAGACACCCGCATCCCCCAGTGCAGAGGCCTGCGCAGCTCCCCTCCCCCCTCCCTGGCTCCCCCTCTCCCCCTCTACTGGGTGACGGCAGGTCTCCCCCCCGGCCCGCCCTCCACTGGGTGACGGCAGGTCCCCCCCGCCCCCCTCCACTGGGTGACGGCAGGTCTCCCCCTGCCCTCCCTCCACTGGGTGACGGCGGGTTCCCCCTCCCCGGCCCCCCTCCACTGGGTGACGGCAGGTCCCACTCTCGCTCCCCAACGTTCGTGACGGTGTCCCCTGCCTGCTGTGGCCCAGGGTGGGGGGCTGTGGGGAGCCCCGCATCTCATCAGAAATCGTTCTGGTCCCCCATAGAAGCTGGGCTGCAGCCCTGAGGCCTTGGCTCAGAGTGCTAACCCCAGTGCCTCAAATCATCTCAGCCCGGGCCCACCCCACACCGCACCAGGCACCGGGCACCGGGCACCGGGCCCTCCCCGTGCCCCACGCCGCCTCCCGCCTCCCCCTGCCCCGCCTCCCGCCTCCCCCTGCCCCGCCTCCCGCCTCCCCCTGCCCCGCCTCCCGCCTCCCCCTGCCCCGGCTAGCTCCCCCCACCCCATCCTCAGCTCCCTGTCCCGGATCTCAGCCGGCACAGACCGCCCTCTAGTGGCCGTTCTGGGAAGTACCGTTCTCCCCAGAGCCAGGGAGAGTCCTTAGCTGTCAAAGGGCTAAAGGGGGGCCGGAACGGGGCCCAAACGGGGCCCCCCTTCTCCTCCTCGGCGGCCCCCCTGGTCCCAGCTTCCGCACACCCCGCCAGGCCCTGCTCCAACCCACGTTTCCACATCCCCAGAGCAGCCCGCGCAGAGCCCTGCGCGTCTCTGCTGATGGAGGAGTCTAGGCCCAGAGGGGTGAGGGGCTCAGGTGGAGCCACACAGCCAGCAGCTGGCTGAGCGCGGCTCGCTCGGCTTGTCTCCCCCGCCCCGAGCACTCACTTGGACCAGGACTATGTAATTATGGTGGAAGAAGAGACGGGGTGGGGGCGGGGTGGGCGGGCCGTGCTGGTTCTGATCCTGTTGGAGCGTCGTGGGGTTCTGGACTTATTTAAAGTCAGTCACTCTGTGGACAGCGCTGCCTGTAGCACTGGGGGTTTGATGGTTGCCTCACCTTCCAGAGCCTGGGGCCGCCCTGCCGCTCACGGGGGTGTGGGTCCTGGCGGCAGGGTGGACACGGGCGGCGGATGGGCGCAGAGCCACCATGCCGCCATGTGGCTGGGACCTGGGGACCCACAGGCCTCGGGGCGGGCGCCTGCCAGTGAGGCGCCTTCTCAGAATCAACTCAAGCTTTGGCTTGGGCTGGTAATTATCATCTTGCTTGCTTGCTTGCTTCCTTTCTCCCTCCCTCCCGGTCCCTCCCCGGTGATGTTGGTGTTTGGAACTCAGGGCTCTGGGCTTGCTTGGTTGGCGCTCTGCTACTTGGGCCACACTGCCCAAAGAGGTTTGCTCTGGTTTCTTTTGAGCTGGGGTCTTGCTTTTTGCCCGGGGCCGCCCTGTGTGGACAGCGCTGCCTCTGCTGATGGGTATGGAGTCAGAGCTGCGGGGCGGGGCCGGGCCGGGCAGGGAGGGTGCGTCGTCAGCAGTGTAGGCCCAAGCAGCAGCTGCGGGGTAAATGGCAAGGTGGAGATGGGGAGCTGCTGGGGGCCGAGCTGGCCGAGGCAGCCGGGGCCCGTGGGAGCGGGGCACGTGGGAGCGGGGCCCGTGGGAGCGGGGCCCGTGGAAGCGGGCCCGTGGGAGCAGGCCCGTGGTTCACCTGCGCTTTCGGGCTCAGCACTGCCCATCTGTGGTGTGCCGGCTGGCCCTGGGCTGAACTGAGATGGAGCGTCCAGCAGGTGGCAGTGCAGGGCTGAAGGAAGGTTTCCTGATTGCCGCCCCGGACTGGCTCAGGGCTAACATGGGCCAGGTGGGGACCCTCCGTGGACGGTCCTCCCCAGCTCCTCCCCGGCTCCTCCCCAGCACAGGGACTTTCCGCCAAGCACCCCAGGAACATAAGTGGATGCCTCGATCCACGGCAGGTTTCCCTCCCTCACGCCTCTGCCTCCCAGGGAGGTCATGGGCTTTTCCAGAGGCCATGTTTCTCAGCCAACCCTGGGATGGTTTTACCTATCTTCCTCCCCCCATCCCCCATCTCTCCGGAACACTGTAGTTTGGACTTGGCTTCGTGTGTGAGCCACACCTCTGCCCTGCCCTTCCCACGGTGGTCATTTCTGAGATGGAGCCTGGCTTTATGGTTGGGCTGGACTACGGTCCTCCTATTTACACGTCCCGCCGTGCCCAGCCTGTTCTGTTGAGATGGGGTCTCGTGAAGGGTGGTGTCCGGCTGCCTGGGGCTCTGTCCTTCCAGCCCAGCCCCCTGCACAGCTGGGATGGTAGGTATGAGCCACTGCGCCCACCCCGTGAACAGGGAGCTGTCCCACACACTTCACCCAGCCGTCCCTACCTCCCTGGCTCCTGGCATTCTACGTTCAGTTTTAGGTGACTGTTTCCATTCTCCCGTGTTGAGGGGAATCCCAAGAACCAATTCCTGCCCCTGGGGATTCGATTTGGGGAGCTGGAGCCTGGGGCAGGGAGCCTTCCCTCCGCTTCCCGCAGGCTGCAGACCCGGGCAAGGGTGCGGCGGGCGTCTGTAGACGGTGTGGGGTCTGGGTGTGGCTGGGCGTGGTGCGGGGGGCTCTGGGGCCTGTGGCTGGCCGGTCATCATCCGAGTGACCCGGGCGGCACCTGGGTGCCCGCTTTCTCTCCCTGGAGTAGTTTTTGGTGATTTTGGAGGCAGGGAGACCCACATCCTCCCAACCTTCCTCCCGCCGCCAGTCTGAGTGTGGCAGGCTTTTCCTGTCCTGTCATGACAAGCTGAGATTTGCAGATTCCGTTGCTGCTCCCACATGTCGTATGGTTTCTTATTTCTTTTTTTCTGGTCGTGGGACTTGGACTCTGGGCCTGGGCACTGTCCCTCAGCTCTTCAGCTCAAGGCGAGCGCTCTACCACTTGAGCCACAGAGCCATTTCTGGTTTTCTGGTGGTTTATTGGAGATCAGAGGCTCACGGATGTTCCTGCCCAGGCTGGCTTTGAGCCTCGATCCTCAGCTCTCAGCGCCCGACGGCTTACACTTTCTATTCTTGCCCCTTTACTTTTTAATTTATACCAGGGCAGACCCACAGATTTCCATTATTCGATTTTGTTAAAGAACAGCACTATTGGATAGAAGTCATTCAATAAGCATGTTGAATAATATAATAAGCCAAACACAGTTACTCATGCCTATAATTTCTAGCTGTTCAGAAGACTGAGATTTGAAGGGTCACAGTTCAAGGCCAGCCCAGGAAGAAAAGCCTGTGAGGCTCTATCCCCAATTAATCAACAAAAATCTGAACTGGAGGGGTGGCTCAAATAGTAGAGCAACAGCCATGAGCCAGAAGGCAGAGCAAGAATGTGAGCTCCTGAGTTCAGACCTTGGCACTGGCAAAATTCAGTTAATAAATGTTAGGGCCCCCGATGGGGCCGGGGAGCTCTCGGGGGGTGGCTCTGCCCTCGGGGGGTCCTCTCTTTTGGCTCCCTTCAGTGTGGGGTGCTGTTAGAAGCCCAGGTCAGGGAGAGCGGGCGCAGGACCTGGGGAGACACCAACCCCACCGATCCAGAGGATCGGTCCCTTCCAGAGGAGACGCGCTGGACGCCCCACGCAGCTGGCCTTGCCTGGCTGGTGTGTGACAGATCTCTGGCTCACGCAGTGTGCCTCAGGCAGTGTGCTACAAGTTGTGTGTGACCACATACAATGCATGCAGGCAAACACGTCGGCACCCTGGGAGTCTTTGCCTTCCCCTGCGTCTGCCAGTTCGAGGCCTGAGTACTCCCTTTTCTAGCCTGTGGGTTCTCTGATGGAAGTTCTCTGTGTGTGTGTGTGTGTGTGTGTGTGTGTGTGTATAGAAAACCAGGGAGAGTCTTGAGGACAATTCACACCCACATGTGGAAGCTACGTCCTGCCCAGGGTGCGGCTGTGGTGGTGGCAGTCGGTGCGGTGGCCGAGGTGGCGGCGGCTGACTGCGGTGCTCACTGGGGGGGGTGTGGGAGGGGTGCTGGCCTGGCGGAGCGCGGCCTGTGCCGGCTGGGCTGGCGGTGGCGGCCCCCACCGCTGGCCTCCTCAGTTCTGTGGAAGGAGCTTGCATTGATCGCGGAGTGTTTGTGCAGAGTTCCCTATTGATTTCAGAGCAATTAATTTAAGCCGTTACAAAGCTGCGCTCGGAGCTCCCTGGGGAGAGCCCATTAGCCCATTGTTTCTTCTGTGGAGGGGATCGGGTTTCCGGCCCAAGGGGATCCGGGCCGCCAGGCCTCCCTTCCACGTCCTGGGCAGCCAGCAGGTTCTGGCCCTGCCCTCCGCGAGCCTGGCCTCTGTCTGTGTGTCTGTCTCTCTCCTGCTCCTTTCCCCCTGGCTGACGGCCCCAGCTGCCCTTGCCCTGTATCTCTGAACCCCACGGGTCCTGCAGCCATGTCCGGCTCCCCCCTCCCCCACTGGGCTGGCAGGCTTATGGAGAATTTGGGGCTCAGAGCTGGCAGGAGGGCAGCGTGCCCTCAGTGGCCCCGTGTCCAGGGCCGTGGACTGCGGGGGATGGGGGTATGGGTGAAGGTGGGGAGGGCCTGGGGGATGGGGGAGTGGGTGAAGGGGAGGGCGGGTGTGTGGCTGGGGCGGGGAGGGCCTGGGGGAGGGCGGGAGTGGGCGAAGGCGTGGGGGGCTGCGGGGGATGGGGGTGTGTGGCGGGGGCGGGGCTCCCACGCGGGCTCTCCCATGGCTCTGCGTCTCAGGCCTGCAGGTACGGCCACGTGCAGCATCTGGAGCACCTGCTGTTCTACGGCGCGGACATGGGCGCGCAGAACGCCTCAGGCAACACCGCCCTGCACATCTGCGCCCTCTACAACCAGGTCAGTGCCGTGGCGCGGCCCTGAGTGGGGAGACCCCGCCACGCTGAGAGACAGACTGGCGGGCCGGGGCGCGGTGCGAGGGAGGTCCCTGGGGTCCGGGACGGAGGGTCCCTGCACAGGGCGCGGCACAGGGCGCGGCTTTCTTTTTGTGTGTGTGTGTCCGGTTGTGGTGCCTGAACTCTGGGCCTGGGCGCTGTCCCTCAGCTCTTCAGCTCAAGGCTAGCGCTCTACCACTTGAGCCACAGCGCCGCTTCCGGCTTTTTTCTTTTTGCTTATGTGGTGCTGAGGAATCGAACCCAGGGCCTCAGGCATGCAAGGCAAGCGCTCTACCACTGAGCCACCTTCCCAGCCCGGAGCGGCTTTCTTGTACCCACCAAGGCCTCATCTAGGAAGCGCAAAGGTGGGGTGCGGTGCCCACCGCGGCGAGCCCTGGCACAGGCTCGGGCGGGGCGGGGGCAGCCATGGACGCACCTCGCCCACCAGAGAAAGATAGTTCCTTGGGTGCTTTGGTTTTGGTTTTGTTTTGTCGGTCGTGGGGCTTGAACTCTGGGCCTGGGCACTGTCCCTCGGCTCTTCTGCTCAAGGCCAGTGCTCTACCACTGAGCTACAGCGCCACTTCTGGTTTTTCTGGTGGTTTATTGGAGATAGGGGGTCTCAGGGTCTTTCCTGCCTAGGCTGGCTTTGAACTGCGATCCTCAGATTTCAGCCTCCTGAATAGCTCACAGGCGTGAGCCACCGGCGCCCGGCTGTGCTTTGGTTTTAAAACCACTTGGTGCCAGGCACAGGTGACACGCGCCTGTCATCCTAGCTACTCAGGTGGCTGAGAGCTGAGGATCACGGTTCAAAGCCAGCCCGGGTAGGAAAGTCCACAAGACTCATATCTGCAAAACAGCAGGGCTGGAGGTGTGGCTCACATGGTAGAGCACCAGCCGAGCAAGCAAACAAAGCCAATTCCACTATGGGAAGAGAAGACAAAAACAACTCAACCCTGCTGTCCGGGCATGGAGACGCGTTCTGATGGTTGCCAGCCAGCGACCCCCTGGCCCTTCCATGCCCAGCGGGTGCCTGTGGCCGGCAGCTGGGCCCCAGGCGGCCAGCCGCGCTCAGCGCCCCCCCCCTGGGTCTGTTGAGCGACTTTCCTCTTCTCTGCTTGCAGGACAGCTGCGCCCGAGTGCTGCTCTTTCGGGGCGGAAACAAGGAATTGAAAAACTACAACAGCCAGACGCCATTTCAGGTAAAGGGCGTGTGTGCACGGGCCAGGGCCGTGTGTGTGTGTGTGTGTGTGCGCGCGTGCGTGTGTGTGCGCACGTATGTGTGTGCGCGCGCGTGTGCGTGTGACATGAGCTCCTGTGTGCCGTGTCTGAGCTCTGCCCCATCACGGCACTGACACCGTGACATCTAGGCTGGCTCCTTTCAGACCAAACTGCGCGTGGCACAGACATTTATCTCTGTGGAACATTCCAGAAAGGAAACAAAGTCACGGCTGTTCCTATTTCTGCAGCTGTTGGGCAGCACTGGCTCCGCTGCCTCTCACCCATGGAGGGGGCACCCCTTAGTCCACCGCCACCCCACCACCCCTGCCACCCCAGAATGGATGCAAAACAACCCCGCCCAGCCTGGGCAACGTGCGTCTGACACACACGACGAGCATCGTCACCCTTTTAAATATCTGCAGGACACGGGTCCGAGGTCCACTCAGGGCACTCAGCGGTCGGTCACCCTGACAGGTTCAGAACCTTCCGGCACCCCCGCGTTGCACTTCCTCCCGCCCGGGATGGCGGTGGAGCTGCTCCCCTGCCCGCTTGCTGTGGTGGCGATGGTGGGCAGCCTCACCACGGCGGTGTCAGGACTTCACGTGCCGGCTCGGTGCTCCCAGGCAGGTCCTGGCGCAGATGTTACGGTTCCCTCTTTCGTCTTACGTTTCTTTTCTGAGCCAGAGTCCCGCCTGGCTCCCAGGCTGGCCCTGAACTTCTGGGCCCAGGTGATGTTCCCGCCTCCGCCCGCAGGTGGTGCTGTCAGGGCTGGCTGCCGGAGTCCTTACGAGAATCGAGAATCGTCTAAGGCTCCGTGCCAGGTGCCTGCGTGGGTGTCCGCGTTTTTAGACACCGGCCGGCCGCATGAACTGAACGCTGGAGCCTGTCCTTGTCTGGGCGTCCTTGGTGCATCTTCCTGAGCTGGGGAAAGTCTTCAGGGCAGAGCGGGCTGCCTCGGGTCGCTGTCTGATCCTCCTCTTGGGCTGGAAAACGAATCCATTCGCTCCGGGCCCTGGGCCCAGGAGCTCCGTAGCCACGGGGGAGCGTCCTGAGCGCGAGCGCGGCTCCTGGGGCTCCAGGGTGACATCTTGTTGCGTGTCCTTGGGTGGTACACAGGCCTGGGAGACGTGGGGTCCTGGGCGTCCCAGGCGTGAACCAGTGAACTGTGGCTGCTTCCACCTTCTGCCTCTCGGGAATGGCTGGGCCTGGCTTGGAGATGTCGTTGGCCATTCAGTTGTGTGTTTCTTTGGGCTTCAGGAATGTCAGCTGGCGCAGTGGCTTACACCTGTGATCAGCTGCTGAAAATCGGGAGGATCGTGGTTTGCAGTCAGCCCGAGCTAGGCTCCCATGGCCATGTCTGAAATTCTAGTTACTCAGGAATCTGAGACCTACAGGATCAGGCTCAAAGCCAGCCAGCCTGCACCATTCCATCTCCAACTAACCTGCAAAAAGTTGGGGTGGAGGCATGGCTCAGATGGCAGAGCACCAGCCATGACCTGGCAGCCAATAAGCACAAAGCCATAAGTCCTGAACTCAGGGCATTTCTAACTTTTAATTTATATATAAATATATTTTAAAAAAGACTCTAGCTCAGGTGGCACCAAATGGAAGGGACACGCAGACAAGGCACAGAATGGGCTGGGTCTGTGCCACTGTGGAAGCTGCCTTCCCGGCACCTCCTCGGTCCCTGAACCCAGAGAACCTCTGAGCCCTGGGGTTTGGGTTTCCAGAGGCTTCATTTCATATGTGGCCAGCATCTAGCCTTGTCCCCAGCCCTGCCCTTCAGCCCTGTCCCCAGCCCTGTCCCCAGCCTGTCCCCAGCCCTGGGCTGGGCTGGAAGTTGCAGTGGTCTGGTCTCAGGGCTGGCCTCCCCGCTCCAGCTGCCCCGGGAGTCTCTGGACTTCCGCTGTGGAGTGAGAAGGCTCTGGGCCGGCTGCATAGGCCACGCTTGCCACCTGCTGTGTTCTTGCTTCCTGCTTGAGAACTCCTCTGACCTGGGAGTGGCCGGCTCCATCTCCGGCTCCGGCTCCCGTGCCGTCCAGCAGGCAGGGCGTGGCATGCCAGGAGGCGGGGGCGGGGAGGGGGGAGGCCCAGCTTTTTAAGTCTAATCAAAGTTGTGTGAGTCTCATTTGAGATTCAGACTCTGTGTTCCCATGGAAACGGACGTGGCAGTTGTATTTCTAGATGGGAGAGGACCTGACAGTCCCAAATGTGGCTGGAGGACGATCCATATTTATGATGGAAGGCGACCAGGGCCGTGTTCCTCGTGGCAGCGGGGCCCCTGCGTGGCCCGTGGGGCATGCAGGGCTTTGGGGTTGGGGAGCAGGGACCCAGGGGCAGCTGCTCTGAGCAGCCATGGCCAAGGATGCGGGGCCCTCGGGCTGTCATGGGCACAAAGGAGAAGAAAAATAAGGTGTGTGGGGGGGGGGCGGGGAGGAGAGGGAAGCCAGGTGGTGTGTGCGGCAGGGCGCTTCTGTGCTGGGCCCTGCACGGCTTCTGGGGTGAGCAGAGACGCAGGCCTGCAGGGGAGTCGCTGTCGGTGGGGTACACCCCTGCTGGAATTCGGGAAGCCACTCCACGCCAGTGTCTTCCGGCCCCGGGGTGGGGGGGTTTAGTCTGGGTGTCCTTGGCTTGTGGCCACAGCACACCAGCGTCTGGTCCTACAGCCCTCTTCTGGGCGCGTGTGACCATGCTGCCCCTCCCGCCACCATCCTCGCGTCCCCTCCTTCCTCCCCTCCTCCACGCTCAGCCTTCCTGGAGAGGCCTCGTGGCACGGCTTCCAGAGTGGGGGCCGGGCGTCTTTGGGGCCGCTGTCCTGTCTTCTTGGTGTGCATGCATGCATGGGCAAATGCAGTGGCCCCAAGGCCCTAGATCCTGATAGATGGCACACCTTGCACTAGGTTCTCCTCAGAAAATCTCCCTGTTAGCTGGGTGCAGCAATATACACCCGTAATCCCAGCAACTCAGGCCCTGGCCTGGCCAGCACAAGCCTGGGCCCGAGCCTGGTGGACATAAAGACATGTTCACGTGGTCTGCAGCTTACCCGGGCTGCCCCAGCTCTGAGCTGGCCCCGTGGTGGCAAAAATCCAAACCACTGTCAGCAAAATAGATAAACAAGCAGGAGACACGGTCCGGCAGCCCCCGCCTGCTCTTGACTGGCATCTCTGGGGCCAGTGAATCTCCTGTACGGATTTTTCCCCCCTATTAACATTTTGAGAATAAGCCCTTAGAGATTTGGTATTTAAGAACTGGTATTTATTCAAGAGAAAGAAATCTCAGCCAGCCGTGACATTCACGAGGCCAAATTGATCTCGTCAGCAGGAGATGGCCGTCCCGAGTCAGGAAGGCCTCTGTCCTGCCCGCTGGGCTGGGCTGGGGCACCGGGAGGGGAGGCCCCGCTGCACGGGACGCCCCACCGGGCCGTCTATCATCAGGGCTCCTGGACTTGCTGGAGTCACAAGAAAGGGAGCAGAGTGGCCAGGCAGCATGGAAAAGAACATCGGAGGGTTTGCAGACATCCTCTGCCTTCTCTTGAACGAAGTCCTTGGGGTCTCAGGCAGGCATCTGTCGGGGTAGAGCCCGGTGTTTTTATCTGTGTGTTTTGCTGCTGGTGCTGGGCTTGAACTCGGGGCCTCGTGCTCTCACTTGGCTTTTCCCCTCAAGGCTGGTGCTCTACCACTGAGCCACAGCTCCACTTCTGGCCTTTTGCTGGTTAATGGGACATGGGAGTCTCCCAGATTTGTTCACCAGTGCTGGCTTTGGGCCCGGATTCTGAGCTCTCAGCTTCCTGGGGTTGCAGGTATGAGCCGCGGCACCTGCTCTGCCTGTGTTTTTATTCAACTGCGGATTGCAGTCGGGTTGGATCCGTGAGATACATGCAAAAGAAAAGTTAGCATCGGAGCCGACTTCGCTTCCAGACAGGAGAGAATCAGCTGCAATTTTAGGGAGACATTGGGAGGGTGGCCTGTGTGTGCAGTGGCCCCTCTGGGCTCTGGACAGCGGGGCAAGACCGTGTCCCCTGCCCAGCTGGGTTCCCGTTCCTGTGCTCGGCTCACCGGGGCAGAGCAGAGGACTAACCACAGACTCCATTCCTGTGAAGATACATGCATAACACTTACGTGTATCAGACACACAATGTGTGCAAACCAACCATGCACACACATAGCCACACACATAGCACATACATGCAGACATGTACACGCATGCCAGCACACCCATGCTCATGCAGCCGCACATGTGCGTGTGCTCACACACGTGTATGGAGTCACTGATGGGTGTGTGTATAAACCTGCATGTACATGTGTGTGCCGCGTCCATGCGTGTGCACACACGTCCACACACGGCCTCTGCGTGATGCCGGTGCGGCCCCTCCTCACTCCCAGGGCCGTGTGTGCTGTGCAGGCTGTGAACGGCGTGCAGTGAAACCCTGAGTTCCGGTCGTCTGCAGCGGTCCTCCTCTGGCTGTTTATGCCGCAGTGACACACACATCGCGGTGCCTTCCCTTAATTTTAGTGTTGATTTTTAATGATGGCTTTTTAAGTTTTTTAATTTGAGTGTATCATTACATGAAGTGCTCGCTTTATTTTCAAGTTGGAACTATAAAATGAAATCCACCACAGTGCAAGCCAGCGCCTCCCTGCTCTCCGCCCTGCGCTCCCGCTCCGTGCACTGAGGACAGGCGTGGAAGCTATCCTTCTATCCTGGGGAGAGGGACGCACCTAGGAAGCTCGGGCTGTTACGGGCAGTGGTGGCCACTGTAATGGATGAGGAGACATGTTAAGTCACGTGGCCAGAGCCACACAGCTGGCACCCGTGAGCCGGGACCGAGCCAAGCCGGCCCTGTGCCCGGCGTGCTAGCTCCCCGGTGGGCGTCAGGGGTGGACTCACGGAGTCTGAGCAGGACCGAGGTGTGCAGGGGCCGAGGGAGGGCGGGTGCCAGGTCCCGCGGGGGAGGGGGGGAGCAGCCAACGCGGGAGGTGCT